TCTATCTATCTATCTATCTATCTATCTATATAAATCAGATGATAGAAAAGGCTTGTTTCTCATGAAATTGAAATGTTAGCAGCAAAGCAATTTTTTTTCCATTCAAGATGAAGGTTCCCTCTCCTCTTTTGCAGAAACAGAAGCTCATATAAGTGTTGCAAATTCCAACACTTCAAATACTGTTTAATCCAGCTACATTATTAAACATATGCTTCATATTTTCTAGTTGAATTTATGATCCAAGAGTATTAACTTATGGTAAACAAGCTGGTACCATCTTATGTTTCAAACTAAAGTCTCATTTTGAATCTTGACTAAAGTGACAGTTATAGTCTGAAACATCTGGATGTATCCTTAAATCCAAGAAGAAAAACCTGTTACTCATTTATTGTTGTGACTTTTTAATATCATTTCTTTAGTTTTTAGATTTTTTTTTTCAGAGAAATGGGTGTATTAAACTTTTCCTGTGTTTTGGTAATAACTAAGTAACATTATAAGTAACTGAAGTTACTTACTATGGCAAAATTTTTCATAGACTACAATTTAGGATTCTGAAACCTTGTGTCATTATATATATTTAATCTTTAAGTGCCCAAGGTTGTTCTATCCTGCAGGATTGTTTAATTGTTCATAATGAAATACTTTTACCGATCAAAGTTTCAAAAAATTCTGCAGAGTGCAAGATCAGCCCAAAGACTTGCATGATTACCTTTAAAAAAAAAATTGGTGGAATGTTCCCAAGAACTGAAGCGTACGTACATTATTTCTGGTTCTCGATTAATCTTATTGGGGTCTTGGTACAGAAAAAAAATGTAGTCCAAAAAAAAGATCATTATTACCATCTTGGAAACTATATTCTGAAATCTGTATCCACTTTAAATTAAAAAATATGTTAATAATACAATACTCATTGTATTGGAACGTGCAGCATGAAAATTATAGTATAGTAATGTACTTGCTGGTAGTGAAATTTAATTCAAAATGTATATTCATGTATTCATTAAATACAGAGTACTTTGTTTTATCCTTTCTAGTTAATTACACACCACAGAGATGAATATTTGAAAGCTTTTTATGGTAGTTATGTTGTAATAAAATGGCTTAATATCTGTACTTATCTGTAAATGATGGACTAATTTAAATCAATTAAACTATTTCATTGATTAGAAGATACCAATATAATTTAAGTAATATAGTTAAACATGCCTTTGAAACCCAGTTCATGAAACTACAAAATCCATGATGTTTTCTTAAACATTCTGCATAGAGTTATTTCTGTCCAAGCTGGTAATACTCTGCATGTGTTTTCTCAGTTGCAGGATGCAATCAAGGCTAGCAAAGGTGTGACTTCAGCTATTGACCTATGTCGTTGCCATGGAAACAGCGCACTGGAAGCTCTAGAATGTTTCCCTCCCTCTGAGGCCAGATCTGCCTTAGAAAACATTGTTTACGCTGTGACAAGATTTTCATAATGTAGAATTGGATGGGGGGAGGAACTGCTGTTCATTTGTGGAAACAGGACGAACAGAACAGGTGATTGCAAAAGTCAGCTCTGCCATTGCTAAGGATCCAAATGCATTTGTGGCTTTTTTTTTTAAAAAAAAGTGTTTCTGTTCCATTCACTACATTCCCAGATGAACACGTCTCCTTCGGAACTGCTGCAAACAAAATTAGGAAAAAAAGGTCAAACAGATTTCAGTTGTCATGCCAGAAGCACACTTGAGGCTGCACTGGTAGAAATAATTAATGACACAAGCTTCTGTGACCTCAGCAAATGGACAGGAAATAAGTCCTTATTGATTGGACATAGTCAGGGATGGCGCCAGCATGGTGGCCTGTGGTTTTCCTGCAGAAAAGAAGACAGAGGGGGCCATGAAGCTGCAGGTGTTGGGAGCACTGGTTTTTAAGAACGTTTTTAAGCGGGGTGCTTAAAAGTAGAATTAATGTAGCAATTTATCAACACAAAAAGCAGCTTGATGAATTGGCAGAAAGGAACGGATTTTTTTATCGAACTACATGAAATGTTTCTGTAGCACTTTCTGTGCGCAGAAATAACCTTGTAACTATTCACGTTTAAACAGGTTGCTAAAAGAGTGGTGTAGGTATGGAAAATGTTTACTGTAATGTTGAATTGTTTGTGAAATTCTGTTCTGTTTGTATAATTCTGATTAAAAAATGGAGCTTTAAACCGCGTTTGCTTTTTCTGTATGGTACAAAAACAAATACTGTGTTTTCTTACATTTACCAAGAATATTTTCTCCGTTTCCATTTTTGACAAATGTTAAATCAATGTCTACTTCAATTCCCTATCATAAAGGATTAAGTGATAGTTCTTCCTCTCTTCCCTCCATACAGGATTTCATTCCCTGAATGGATGTGTAAGAAGTGTTTTAACCTTACTGTGTCAAATGTTAAAGTCCAATTACAGAGAGAATACATGGTATATCAGAAGCCTGCAATCAGACACTGTCTCTATTTTGTTCATAGGAGATGATTTTTGTGGTTTGCATGCTTGCAATCTGAGAACATCGTTGACAAGAAGGCTGAGTTTACATAAATGATCCAGATTGAGACTCAGCTACCTTTCTTCCTTGTGTGGTGTAATTACAGCCCAATCTGGAGACAGCTAGCACAGCAAACAGATTTCATTACATTGCTCTTTCAAACACTAAGTGGAGTTATTTTAGTTAATTTTTTTTCTCTGTGTCTCTCCAGTGATGTGTCATACACCTTCTGCATAACGGCAAATATTTCACCAACAGAAACATTATTTTTTTAAAGTTGAATATTTAGTTTCACTCATGAAATACACACGAGGAATTAATGCATTTTCAAACTTTGACTAGACTTTTATTACTTATTTCCAAAAATATTATAACACTTTTAATATTGTGTAATTATATGAATAAATCAAACTATTTCAGTCCTAAGCAGCATTCAGTTTTGAAGGATGGATGGATGGAGAGATAGATAGCAATTCTTTGGTTTCAAATATTGTTTATCATTAAGGGTTACTTTTAAAAATTAGCACATGTAACATAATAATTTGAAATTTACATTATCAACATTAGACTACATATGCCACCAATTTAATCTTATAGAAGTCTTTGTAATAAATATGTAAAAATACCCACAAAAAGGGAAACACAGAAATAATACAGCTAAATTATTAAGATATTCAGATTTTGATGAAAGTAGATGGGAAACTGCACGGCTGCAAAATTGTCAGAATTTTTAACAACTTCCATTTTTATTTAAGAATATTATCTTCTTAGCCTAAGAATTGGTCTTGATCTATGGGGGATTTTTTGATTATAGATACTTCCATGTTTATATCTGGTAAGATACACAAGGGACCTTAGGAGAAAGTTATGTCATGTGAACAGAAATCTTCTCTTGCAATCTTAATTTTTCTACACTTTCAGGAATCTGAAAATAGGAGCATTTGGTATCATTGTGTGGTATTTACAATTTTTTTAAAAAAACTGAATTGTAATTTATTGGATTCTGAATTTTAAGAATAATTTAAATATACCAAATTTAAATACACCAGAGTTACCATGTGGCAAATTAGGTGACTAACAAATTAGACAGAAAGACAGATAGATAAAATATGCACTGGAAACAAATTCCTTGTGTGTCTAATCACACTTGGTCAATGAAGAATTCTATTCCGTTCCATTCCATTTCAGCTAAATTAGGTGGGTGCGTTGTATGTCTTCCTACTTCATAGGGGAGATATGTGGCTTGTCGTGGTTGTGATGACATTGATATTGCTCAAGAGTTGTTCCTCAACATTGACATTTTAGAAATCAAGATTAATTTTGATATAAACTTTTATTCTTCTTTAAAAGTTGTTTTTCTAAGCATTAGTGTTAATAATCTCTAGTCAATTGTATACTGTACTCAATATAATGTATTAATTATGTTTTATAATAATGCAATAAAGCCAAAGAGAAAAGCTCCCCTTGATACTTGTGCAGGAGTTCATACCATACTTTTAGGCATAGAACACACGTTAAATCAAGGGAAACTGCCAATCTGGCACCTAGTAGCAGTAAGACTGCTTTAAAGAAAATAATCATTTTCTCGTGGAAATAATTTCATTTTAGAGATACGTCAGATATCTTGGAACAGACTGAAAAAATAATGCATTGGTGGCCAAAATCAAGTTTATTGGAGAGTTCAGTGAAAAACATCTGCCAATTGAACTATAGGAAGTTGAAGATGTATTTGAATAGTTTTTCTGTAATGCCTTACGCTGCAAAATCACAAGTTATCAATTTCTACACAAGCTCACTTCTAATCAAGTTTTTTTTTTTGCACTGATATGTAAACCAATACCTGGTTCAATATATAACTGAAGATTAAATAGGGCAAGCAAATCAATTATGTAAATAAGTTAAATAATAAATGGTACGATACATCTGCAAGAGATAACATAATCTTCCATTCAAAGTTTGCTGATCCGTATCATAATATTTCTACTTATTCATAGGATTTTTATATCTGTTTTTATTTTATATTTCAGGCATTGGAATCCTAATCTCTGAGAGCAAATCATAACCTCTCCTGAATCTATGAAGGTTTCTTTCAACAAATACTATTTTAGGAAATGGTGATCAAATGGCTCAGTTCTGTTGGGATTGTGTTAGAAATCACTTCACTTCCTGAATTAAGTTTTTCAGTCTGCTCTGTAACACTGTAATTAGTACAAGCAGAATGCAGAATCTGATCCTGTAGATCTTTTTGAGATAGCTGAAATCTTAACAAAAACAATCTGCAGTGTACTGCTGGGAAATACAGCATATTCTTTGCTAACTACATTTCTAAATCCTACTGCCTTTTTTTCTTACATTTGCTTACAATGGCAGATTTTTTTTCCCTAAGAAAGGCACACTATTTTTATGGTACATACAGAATTTTTATTCAATGTTTCTATTAAAACACTTCATAATGGAGGTGTCTTGGGTTGCTTGGGTCATCCATTAGGATTGGTATCTTATTTTGAAAGACCTGGAGGTGAAACCTTCATACATAGTATAATTATTAACAAGAGACTCATAAATTCTTCTGTATTAGGTCAACCTATCCTATGCCCTACAGGACATCAATATCTTTTTTTTGTTTGTTTATTGAAGGATTATTAAGAAATGAAATCTTCAAGCAACTGCCTGTAACAATTCATCCTCTATTCTATAGAGAATGCAGTACACAACTCGGTGGCCTTGATCAGTAAATTAACATGATTTAAATCAAAAAGAAAAATTTTTTACAGAAGTGGGAATGACTACACATTCAAATAAAATACGTTGCTTTTGTAATTGTTTTTCATATGCTTAAGATTACTGACATGCTGTATTATGGTCAAAGATCCAGAAAAGTGGGGTACAAAGAATTAAAAAGCACAAAAAATACATCAGAATAAAAAATGCATTTTAAAAGCTGAAAATATATATTTGTGCATGCATGTATATTATGCTATATATGTATTGTGATAGATCTAACTTGACATGCTTCCCATAGCCTCCTCTTTGATTGCTTTTTTAAAAAATTCAGCTTGTTAATATTTGTTATTAAATAAAAGTATATTTTATTCTGACGTATCTTTTATGCCTCTTAATTGTTTGTACCCCACCCTTTTTATGTGGGTCTTTCACCTGATAACGATTTGATTTGATGATTTAGTCATTCCCTGCATTAGTCAAAAGAATACTTTGGCTCCCCCGTGTGTAACAGATTCACTCACAGCCACAAAATTTCTGAATAAATTATGTCATTGCATTTTAATGTTTGTGCTTGAATAATTTTTCCGTAATACAAAATTGAATGTTTTTTTAAACATTTTATACTTGTCTATATTATCTAATTGTATACTGTACAATTAGATAATATAGACAATATAATGTATAATTGTACTGTTCTGCTTGATAAAGTACATCATTTTGCGAATATCACCCATTTAAAATATTTTGCTTATTGCATTATAAGAGATAGTTTTGAAAAACTGACAGGGATAGACAGAATTTTATCTCCCCTTAAATCAACCAATGAAATTGATGGGAAAATATATGTATAATTACAGCATATAATAAACCTGTAGAAGATATGATAATTAGTGCTGCTAATTTTAATGGTTTAAAAGAGGGTTCGATAAATTCAGAGGATACTCTATAATTGGTTATTAGACTTGGGACTCAATGTTATTTCCAGATTTCAAGCAATTTCAAGCAAAAGCTGCAAGTCTCAAGAGTTGCTTTTTCAAAAGGCAACTGGACGTTTTTTCCTTGAGCAAGAAGACATTTCACTTCTCATCCACGGTTCATCAGTTTTGACCGGATGGTGGGGAGGATGAATTAGTTCTAACAGGATGGGGAAGGATGATAGTTCTTTGCAGTCATCTGGTTGTTAGCACTTTCTGAGCTATTGAGTCCATTTAGGGGGTTAATCTGCACCCTCGGGGTCACCTGAATCAGAGTGCAAATGGATTTGGAATTTTGGAAAATTGCTGAAAGGACTGCATTGTAGATAGGACATAAATGGTGTTGTATTCCTCCTCGATTGATTGGTTGTCTCAATCGATTTGTTCTCCTATGTCCATGAGGGCAAACCTACGGCATGTGTGCCACGGGTGGCACATAGAGCCATTTGTGCGGGCATATAAGCCCCAGCCAAATTTAACGGCACTGCGCATGTGTGTGCCCTCCCCCAGCTGATTTTCAGTCCGTTTGCGGACTCCCTGAGGCTTGAGGAAAGTCTCTGCAACCTTCAGAGGCCAAAAACGGGCCCATTTTGTTACTTCTGGGAAATACTTTCAGCACACAACAAAAAGGTTTGCCGTCACTGTCCTATGTTGTGCCATGTATCTGATTTTTTTTCTCCAATGTACAGATGTGCACAACTCACTGCATATATCACATTGCTCAATTTGTGTCTGGATATTTTATCCTCGAGGTAGACAACCTTCTGTCTTGGTGTATTCTTGGGTTTATAGTATGCGTGTATATTATGTTGGTTTAAAATAATCCTCCCGAACTTTTCAGATATTCCTGCAAAGTATGGAATGATGTCGCTTTATTTGTTGTTCTCTTCTTTGTTACGGAGCTCCTGCTGGGTCTTTTGCTGGATTTAATAAAAAGGCCCAGTTGGGATAGTTACAAGTTCTGAGGGTTTCCTTGATTTGTTTTAGTTATTTTTCTTGCTCCTCTTTACTGGTAGGCAAACTTTTAGCCCAGTGGTGTACGGTTTTGATTTCTCCCATTTTGTGCTCCAGTGGGTGGTGACAACAAAAATGTAAATCGTGTACTGGTCTATGTGTGTGTTTTTGTAAACTTCTGTAGACGGTTACATTTCTGTCCTCCTTAATGAGCACTGCATAGTCCAGGAAAGCCAGACTCTTTTCCTTAACATCTTCCAATGTGAACTTAATGTATCTGTCCACAGAATCAATGCATTTAAAAGCTGCAACAGAACAATGATAGGGAATGAGTGTCTCTTTCTCTCTTGGTATTTTGAGTGCCTTGAAAGACTTGGTTAGCCAGTGTGTGAAATAAAATGCTGGGCTTTGGCTCAATGTGATATAGCTATTCTTAAATTTAACCTGCATTTGGATGATTGGGCTATGTCCTCTCACTATTTGAAGATCAGGAAATAAATTAATTCTGTTTATAATACAAAACAGTCTACAAAAGTTGTCCCAATGAAAAAGGAAAATACATATATGGGACCTTCTTTCTTCCCTTTTTATAAAATAAATGATTGAGATTTCAGGAAAACCTGTCCTATTTCATTTTGTTTCTGGTAGGTTCTTAGCTGAGCCTATTTTCTATTCATTTCCACATAGACTCTTTGTTCTAGTATTTATAACCTAATCTAAATAACAACATGCAATTGTAAAAAGATATGCATTTCATATGCAAATCAGTGGCAATAATTTTACACAATTACTACTGTAACTTACTTCCATCATAACAAACATGCATTACAAAGTGTATGCCACAAAGAATGTTACCAAAATGTGCTTTTTTCTGAAAATGCCCTTCTTCTTCACATTTTACTGTAGTTAATATTGTAGTATAGTCAATAACAAATCAGACGTAAATATATTGGCTGTATTCATATTAATAAATTTATCTCAGAATACAGTTTTAACTGTTACATTAACTTGCCAATCCTAAATGGTTCTGCAGCACATCACTTTGCAGTAATAGATGAACAGCAATGAATGTATCACAATTATGTATAATTTCTGGAGTCTGGATTTCACATAAAGCACAAATAAATGAAGTAAGTTATTTATAGTAATAGTGAACTTTGATGTTTCAATATGGATATTTATGTAACCAAACTTGCCATTATGCTAACACTTTGTGTTTGGTAAAGTACAAAAACATGTAAGGCGTCTTTCAAAGATTAAAAAACAGAGCACAGAACATGCTTAGCAGCAATGTAAGTAGTCAAGATGAAAAACCAGAC